GAGACTCTTCTGATTAAGTTCTAGCTGCTTATGAACTTCCATAATCGAGGCACTTTAGTACTTAAAAATTCAAACTAGAAAGAATATTATAGACACTCATACATTTCAAGTGAAAAAGACCTGAAAGGCTGACTTAAATGATCTAGTTGTGAACTACCTCCCTGTTTTTATAGGACCTCTAGTCAAATGAGTGGCAGTTTTGAATCATCGTTGTTTTGAATACATAAATATTAGATTTTGAGTTTATACCTTGAAAACAAAAGAGCGCATTAACTTTGTAGAATGCAGAAAACAGTCTAGGAGTGTTGATTTTATTTTTCTGATAGTGGTGATTTTGTGCTTACTGTGGTGAAACTTGAAGAATAAATTACATAATTATAAATTCATTGATTAGATTTCCTTAGCCTGTTGAGAAATATTTCTTTTCAGATTAAGAAGGATATCTGGAACTGCCAAGTAATGAATCAAAATGTCTTAAATGAAACTGCTCTTTTCCTCAAAAAGTTTTATATATCCCTATGTTTAGAACAATACATTAGTAGTTTATCATTCCTCAGGTGGTCTTATGGGGGGTTGTTTTTGTTTTGGTGGGTTTTTTGTTGTTGTTGTTGTTATTGCTGGATCATGGTTTAATCCCACAGAAGTGGGGAAACAAGAGCAAACATTCATTTATCCCTTCATTTATTCATTCAGCACCTATTATATATTTGAGGTAACCTAATCATTGACCTTAATATTGGCAAATGTAGTCTGGTTGGGGAGACAGATATGAAATATGGTATACCATATTAAGTGCTTTGGGAGCAAGAAGGTAGATGAACTAACTTTGCTTCAGTGATTAGAGAACATTTTTATGGAGGAAGAACCCAAGGCTACCACATTTCATAGTGTAGGTTCTGCACTGGACAAGAGCAGCAGGCCAAAGGGGTAAGTGGGAATGAAATCAAGCCTCAAAGCCAGTGCCCAACCATCTGCCTGGTGAGGGATTGTGTCCACCTAGAAAGGATGGGGCTCTTTTCAATTTTACAAAGGCATCATCTGAGTTGATCTTGGGCCAAAAGCAGCATTTGAGGTGGTGCTTAAAGCATGAGTAGGAATCAGCCAGACAGAATTCTGAGTAGGAAACTTATCATAAGTCATGGAAGCAACTGGCATGTCTGGGGAAGGATGAGTTCAGTGGTTTAGATTTGATCTATAGGGGTTAGAGAATTTACAGTACTTTTAATCATGGGAGCACTTTAATTCATGGGAAGTCAACTCTCTCAGGAGTATTGGGTAAACGGCAGGGAGAACAGGAAGAACCCGGAGGAGAGGAGATGGTAGCCTTCACTACGACAGCAAGGATGCAATGGAGGAAAGGTCAAGGAACCAGCAAAGAGGTTGTGAGAGTGATGAAAGGGCCAGCGTTGACTTCACGGTTTTAACTCTGGATACCAGGGGAAGAGGTTTAGACTGGTTGGGCTGGGAAGGGTAGGTGTGCTAATGGGCACAGTTGGAAACACAGGAAGTGAAGGGTCTGGTAGGTAGTAAGAAAGAGGCAGAGGCTGTAAAGGCAGTCTTGTAAAGCACCAGCACATGTGATATGCAGTTAAAGCCATGGGCGTGAATAGGATCCCCTGGAGAGAGCGTGTAGTGAGAAGAAAAGAATCTGGAATACTAGTTGGCAATTAGCAAGGCACTGGTGACTGTAGTGAGAGCAGTTTGAGTACAGTACTAGGGATTAAAGTCACATTATAGTAGAATGAAGATTAAATAAGCATTTCAGGATACAGTGGTTTTCATCCCCAGTTACACATTAGAATAATTACCTGTGAAGGTGTTTTAAAAATGATCAGTGCCTGGGTCCCACCTCTCAATATTCTGAGTTAATTGGTCTTCTGTCAAGCTCAGAAATAAGTATTTTTTTGAAAATCTTCCCAGATAATATTAATGGAGAGTCAGAATTAAAAACCACTGCTCTTGACTATTTTAAGAATTATAAATAAACCCCCATAGCTGGCAAGCATATAAGATGCTTAAAATCACAGGGAATCAAAGTAGTACAAAATTTTTCAAAGATGAAGAATCTTGGTGTTCTATTAAACCGGCAACAATTAGAAAGCTAAACAATGCTTTTAGTGTTGTTATTCAGTGGAGCACAGCAGCTCTTACACACCACTGACAGGCAGGTAGACTGGCATGACCATCCCGGAGAGCAGCTTTGCCAAATTCACTCTTTGACCTAAGAGTTCTACCACTGGATACGCATCCCAGGGAAATCCTCCCATAGGGCCATAAGGGAACTTGCACTAGCATGGTCCAGTGCAGGCTTGTATACAGCAGGAAGAATTGGGGTAATCTGAATGGCCTTCACTGTGAGAGTGGGTTGGGTAAAATTGGGTGGATGTACCCCATCAGAAGCATGGATTAGATACATAAAATAGTAACGTGTATACCTGTGTAACAAACCTGTACGTTCTGCACATATATCCCAGAACTTAAAGTATAATAAAAATAATAATAAATCAAGCTCAGTAAAATCTCAAGGGAATTTCAAAGTTTTCTTATGTATAGCACATTTTGGGACTAAAAAGGGAAAATCCATTAGGTTTTTTAATAAATTCATTTATTAAAAAAATAGTAACATGGATGGATCTTGGGAACATAATGCTAATTTAAAATATAGTAAACAATAGGAAACATAATATCACAAAAATACACACAAAACGACGACAATATATGTTCTGGAGAAACACATTGAAATAAAAATCTAGACACTACATCATTGAAGTGATTGCCTACACGTAAGAAGAAAAGGAAGCACTGATGAGCGGGAAGACGTTACATTTAAAAAGTGTGAATCCAAGAATGGATGAGATAAGAGGGAGACTAAAAGAAGAAGAATGGTCAAGGGAAAGGGGTGTGTGTGTGTGTGTGTGTGTGTGTGTTTTAGTAGAAGGAAGAGTTGTAAGTGTGTGCATGAAATGAAGACTCCAATGTACTTCTCCCTCTTATTTATTCACAGTATTGGTAATAGCTGAGAGATGTGTCCAAGTAGTATTCCTTTCTTTGTTCTTCCCCAATCTGAAATTCATTTGATTTTTTCTCATTGCTAAACCAGTGTGTGTTTGTTACAGATATATCAGAAAATTGACAAGCAAAACAGAAAGATCCATGAACCCACCCACCTAGAGACAGCGTCTAGATCCTTTCCTACGAATATGCTGCAAAGTTAAATTTTGTAACCTAATGTATTTTTTGCTGAGCAGTGCTTTTTGAGCTTCTGTGTATTAGAAGACATTTGTGCAACTTCATTTTAAAGGGCTGCATAATGTCTGATGATACAGATACACCATTATTAATGTCCACCTCCCTTCTTCTGGACATCAGTTATATTTGGTTTTGCCACCTCAAGCGCTGCAGTAAGCAAACATAAGCTACCTACCTTTGAAGACAAACTTCCTATCTTTCATTTGACTCGTTTTTCAAAAGAGATTTAAGGACTGGATTTGAAATTGTCTCATAAAGTAAAATCCACTCAGCATTATCCAAGTCAGGGCACCAGTTCCCTTTGGAACTGTTCTGGGGCCAGTCAGGAATGTGAATGAAGGAACAGAGCCATTCCCCACTGTCTGGACACAATGTAGGTACTTGTCACTATGCCGAAGTGCAATATGGGCTCCTTGGTTTCTGTACTTTAATCAGTGATGCACAATTAAATCCCATAAATTGTTAAGTGAGAGAATGTGGAATGTGTACATTACCTCACATGTGATTGATTATTTCATGAGCAGGTGGTAAAATAGGATGCGCTGAGCTTTTAGAAAATTGCAAGAAATCACTGTTTATGCTACAGGACCAAAGTAGGTTCTTACAGCAGTTAGCAGAACAAGCAAGCCCAAGGGAAAGCGCAGTGGTTTTTCTGAGTATTTCCTACCCTGCAAGATTCCCCCAAACCAGTAGTTTTGGAGATTTAATGTAATCCTTCCGGTTGGTAGGTTGAAGCCTGAGAAATCCAGTGCCAGTGTTTCTCCAGGCTTTGATGGTTAGGAACTGGCCAGGCAGCTCTGCAGCCAGCTTCTCAAGGCCCTGAAGACGTAGCCTGGCTGTTGGAGACAGGTCTCTTCAGGGCAGGAATCCACTAACATTTCCAGATCATTAGTACAGCGGTTGTTATGTACGGTAGCTGAAGAAATGCACTTCTGTCTTTTCGAACTAGTCCTTTGTTGTCAAGAAGCTTTGAATAGTCAGAGCTGTTTCCAGGGCCTGGTTTGCAGCTCTTGAATGTATTCTCTGGCCTATGTATATATTAACACATCACCAGGTCCCAAAGAATTCGCACTGCACAGCGCTGTGCTTTTGGCAGACAAGGAAAAGCCTTCACATGAGTTACAGTTGATAGGGCAAGGGAAGCTCAGGGCTTACAAAAATCCCTTCAGTGGCCCTGCTTAAAAATAGCAGTGTAGGCCATAGCTTAGTGTTTTGACAGTTTATATCAGCAGTTTTCTCGGCTGATATATTGATCGCAGTTTGGACTTCAGTCCTGCTGATCTAATAAAACATCACCGTCATAACAGAGAAAGCAAAAGGATCTTTTGTGGTCCCAGCCACTTGGCAAAGTAGCTTTATAGAGTTTCTGTAAAGCTAGCTTTACTGCAATATGTAAAAGGAAGCAACACTGGACAAGTTGACTATATTGTAATTTTTTCATCTGTCAATGTAATATATTAGCACTATCCTATATATTTTTACAAATAGGCATTTGCTCAAAGGAATATAATGATGCCTTCACAAATATGAAAATGAGTTTTGTGCATCATTATCACAAATAACCTAACAGTGTGTCAAAACCGCAACGCCCCTGATACTTAGTGTGGAAACACACGAGGTCAACTGAGGTCTGAATTAAGCTTCAAGACATGTAAACATCTTCTACTGATAATTCTGAATGGATATTGTGGATATTTTTAAATCACCTGGCCTTCGACCCTACTTACACTAAATATCCTTTAATTTCACAGCAATTGCTAACTATCCAGGAGGAGTTAAACAACAAAAAGTCAGAACTGGAACAAGCGAAGGAAGAGCAGTCCCATACGCAAGCATTATTAAAAGTCCTGCAGGAACAAGTAAGTGAATGAAACAGCTCCGATTTGTGAATCAGTCCAAACACCCCAATGCCTGCCTGCCTCGTGCGTCACCCGTGCAAACATTCATGAAAGTAATCTGCAGTACAATTAGCCTGAACCCTGTCAAACCTCCTAGCAGCTTTGCTGTGCGGAATTTATAACCTCATTTCCAGCATCGCTGTCCTCACTCCTGTACCTGTTTAGATTGCCCAGGCCTGCCAGTGTTGTGTGAAAGTTTCTTCCAGAAGACAACCAAATTTTGATAAAAGTTTCAAAATACTGGCAATGAGGTACGTTTCAAAGTAAGCAGCTGGTTTCCTCTTAAGTCTAACAGTGAGGAAAATGAGTTTAGCATAACCCATGAGACTCCTGCAGACACATGAAAAGGACTGATTCATAGCAACATTTAAAAACTATCCTCCTCGTGCATCAGGGTACTTATCTAACCGTGGTGAGCAACAGACCTTTTATATGAAGTTTGTAAATCTGATCATTTCCTTGTGGCTTTCTTTGATACAAAAGTGTGGCCTGACATTGATAAGTGGATTGGAAAGTATTGTCTTACAGCAGGGTAAGATGGAGTACGCAGCAGGCAGCAGAGGGAAATCTAAGCCCACTATCTACATGAGAGGAACCAGGAGAGCTCTTGAAATGCCTTCCTATTTCTGGCCTTCACTTGCTGCCAACAATGTATGAATGGTAATTTGAAGGAAAAAAATTGCATACAGTAACCCCAACCCTCTGTGGGTAATCAAATGAGATTGTTTTAAATTTTTCACTGACACATCAAGGTTATTCATTGTATAAATAACCTTACACTGTATATATAACTTCAAAGGTGACATTTGAGAAAATATAAAGTCAGCTCTATGTCACTTTGTGAGTGATTTTTGATTTTTTTTTAATGGTTTGGGGTCCAGAAATATCTTTTTAGTTATTTTCTCCTAAAGGTATGATTGATTTGTGAGAGAAAAGTACAGATATTAGTTTATAAACCTTTATAGCTTTGGAAGAAAATGCTTTATAAAACTAATAGTTATCTTCATGTGATGAATATAGATTCAGTAACTTGTACTGAGGCTGACGCTGTATGATTTCAGATATAAGAGACTGAAGTGAAAAATCTAGTTGACTGAATTCACAATGACCTGCAGTTGAGGAGACCAGAAATCACTGTCCTTTCCACTGTTATATTATGAAAAGACTCCCAGCAAAGTGGAACTGAGTTGGTCCAAATTTGCTCCAAATCAACCAACATAGCTCTGAGCTTTTGTTGTTTTCTGCTCTCTCACCCCGATTTTTTTTCTTTTAGATAGCTTTGACCGGACTGGGGAGGGGTGAATTTCTCTTCTCTCTAAATGACTCAAATCCTTGATCTTGAAGTCCAAACCCTAGTCATAAAAATAGATTCTGAGTTTTGCAGAAAGTATTGATATATCTTGTGATGGCATGCATTTTTAAAGAGAAGAGCACACACAGGTATGGGTGAAACATCACACTTCACTCTCCATTATTTAAAAAACAGAGAACATGAAGAAGATTCGAAACAGCTAAAATCAGTAAAGACCTAGAAAATACAATTGAGAAGGAAGAATTTTAAATCTGAAATATTAATTAAAATGGGATAGCTCTGATACCAAGAATCTTTAAGCCTAAGACACCAAATGTATGTGGGTGCTGGTGCCATTACCAAGCTGTTTGTCCAAGAGCCCCTCCCCTGCTACCCCTTGGTGGTTCTTGCAAAAGGGGCCATGCAGTGTACAGGTTCTTTCTGTGCCCCTGCACCCACACACAGATGTGCACTGACGGCACCTCTCACCTCCACTGACCACTGCCTCTGAGGTTGTCTTTGGATTTGTGTAGGGTAACTCCATGTGTAAACAGTTTCAGTGCCCACATAGATGTGGCCTAAACAAATGGACACATGCAGGGGAAGATACACCCTTCTCTGCAGACTTGGAATGTTGCTATTCACACAATTGCCTCGTGCTGGGAATCCTGACAAGCAAGGACAGATCCTGAGGGCAGACCTTTCCCACCCTCAGGCCCCAGCCCCTCCAGGGAAGGCCAGGCTACCTGCTAAGCTCTCAGTCTTCCCATTTGCGAAGATGCAGCTTTTCTGGGTCCCTCCAGGCCCCACTGACTCCTGCCTCTCATCTCCTTTACAATGAGGATAGCTTCCTACCTCTGGAGCTTGTTCACAAACCTCAGTTTCATCAGACAAGATGTTCAGCCCTATCTGGGGGAGAGCAGCAGCTAAAGGAGAGAAGAAGAGGGGGCAGAGAGGAGAACAAAGCAGCAGCTGTCCTGGAGCTGCAGCTGGAGGAAGGAGAGGGGCGGGCTGCAGCGGGGAGGGGTTTCCTCCGTGGTTCTGGCCACAGAGCACAGCAGAGTGAACAATGAATGCCAGGAGACAGGGAGTGAGGGGAGAGTAAACAGGAGCAGAAAAAGCAAGGGCAGAGTTAGAAGACATCATGGAATGGGAAGAATGGAGTTTATTTAAAAGGGAGAAGAGCAACTGGCACATCATGTTGGTAAACACGTAAAGGTGGAACAGACATTCATAAAATAGTCCTTTACTTCTGCTGAAAAAGAACAAGACCTTCTGAGCTAACCCCACTCAAACTCATGGGAGCACAAGCTACAGGACTTAAGGTGGGATGAGCAGAGGGGTTGATGAAGAGGAAGATGAGGGATACCTCAATAAGAAACACTCAGCTAGGAAAAGAGCGAGGCGATTTTTAAAAAGTCCTTTTGTGTCCTGTGATAATAGAGAGTAGTCCTATCACTGTGGCACACCTCTGCCTTGTCATATATGCCATACATCACCCATGCTCCCCTGTGTCTGTCGTTGTGTAGAAACATCAATGATGTTGCCCTAAAGAACAGTGGGCAGACTTTCTTCTTAACTGGGAGTGATATGGAAATGAGCCAAAGAGGCTTTGGTCCATAATCAACTACCCGATCCTCAGTGTCTTCATGTTCCCATTCCTTTGGCAAAACCCCTCCTTTGGCATGGAGTGGGTAGGGCTTTTTGCTGGGAGTTTAATACTGGCCTTCAAAAACTGAAGAAGCTTTCATTTTAATATGCACAAGTAGCCAGAAGGAACCAATGTTCTGAATCAAACACATTGGTGGTATATGTGCATTGATTTTCTTTCAAATCTTAAGTATTTTTTCCTACCATGAATACTTTGTATTAGGCATAAAAAAGATAATGGAGGAGATGCTGCTTCCTAAATCAGGAAAAAATACTGGCAAAACCGTTTCAAGACATGTCACCCTCTTCCTTTGCTGTCTGATACTAAATGTCTGTTTTGAGTCAGGCTAGGATAAAATGGCAATTAAAGGTTTCCTGAAACCTCCTGATAACTGATTACTCCTAAGCCTCTGAGAAAAAGAAGTGTTTTCAAATATTCACTGTTAAAAATCTCATTTGAGAAATATCGTTTCTTCTAATGCTTCTGTGGCCAAGGAGATATCATCCAAACTCTTTCTCTACCGAAGAAGCAACCGTCTTTGGTCCTCCAGAGATGTCAGTCATTCAAATATATTCTCAAGGAGGACATGTCTAACACAGTAGCATGTTAAAAGCAGCTGAAAATGTATCATTCACGAATAATCGTTAATATAACATCATTTTGCTGGTGGCAACTTGCAAACACTGCAGGGTTTAAATTAATAGCAATCCAACTAGGAAATGAAATCATTTATTATTCTTAAGAACCGATTTTATACATTTTATGCCTATGGAACTGCTTTCTAATCTTATTATTTAAAAAATAATGACCAAGACCCATTTATTCTTGTGCCAGGCATCAAACTTCATGAAATATTGGTCTCAAATTGGCTCCAAGAAGGCTCATTAAAAATATGTGCTCCATCTGTTTTACTTCGTTGGAAGTTTTATAAAGTACAACCTCAGATAAATCAGTTAACAAGATGATGTACTTAAGAGATTTGCTTGCTTATTCATTTTTTTGTTTTGTGTTGTTTTTCCTTAAAATTTGCAGTTAAAAGGTACCAAGGAATTGGTCGAGACCAATGGCCACAGCCATGAGGATTCAAATGTAGGTACCACAAACCTGGTATTTGTTCTTCTTGCTTGATGTTGGTTGAACACATGGGGATGTGGCACTTTATCTACCACATAAAGGAAATCAGAAGCTCTGCCTCTCAGCAGCTTAAGATTAATATATAGGGTTTGGCACGAAAATGTGATTGACAGGCACTGCTACTGTTAGCCTGGTTTATCAAATGTCAATTTAGAAGTATATGAGTTAATCCCCACCATCGAAAATTCTAATCTCAGTGAGTCTGTTTGAGCTCTTTGTATTTCCAAAACTGTAACTGATGATATACTGGGAGGGAAATGGAAAGAGACCCGACAGGGTAATCAGTTGTGCATTGCATGTATATTCATTAAGTTTGCCTGCCAGCGAAGGTGGTACCTAAATGACTGACATGCTGAAAAGGTCTCAGAGCAAACGCCTTCTCTCAGAATAGCCCTTGAAATGTATTCCTTCTCTGTTCCTCACCCAGAATAGTAGCACAGTGCATCCGTCTTCTTGATAGAGAATAATGTGTGATGGTACAAGATCCCAGTTACACCATGACTTCCTCTCTTAGTGTTCCTTGAATATCCAATTGTCAAAAAGTAAACAAGTATTCTTCTTGCCTTGAAAGTTTTTTAGTCTCAGATGGAATATTACACTATGTAGATCATTGCCTCTCCATATGTTTGATGATTTTGTCTTTTTTAAATCTCTCTGATATCTGTATGTATTTGATTATCCTCATCGAAGAAAATGCTTACTAAGCAGTTCTTTTCACAGAACACAGAATTAGACATGATAATGAATGCCTGATTACACTAGAGCTAGGAGAAATTATATATTTCTTGTTCACTCTTGTTTTAATTATATACAACAGAGAGCCTAATATTCAGAGTATCAAAAAAATCCCACTTAATCATTATTGTTCCTACCCAGCAGATATTTAACAATGATGTTTACTGAGGACTTACGTGTTCATACTGCTCTGCTAAGTTCTAGGGGAACAGAAATGGGGGTTACAAAGAAATATAAGACTAATTGTCTGCCCTCGGGGAACTTATAACTGAGTTAAGGAATTAAGAAACACATAACAATATACAGGACATGGTAAGTGTACAGGAAGTTGAGGCAGCTATGATATGATGTAGTTTGAAATCCAGACTTCGCTGCTTATTACATGTGTTAGGCTGACAAGTTACTTAACCTCTCTGAGCTTCCTTTTTCTCACTTGCAAAAAGAATGGCAAAGCCTATCTCAAAAACATGTCATAATGTACTGACCTAAGGCCTGGGAAGACCTTAAGGTGTTACCAGTATGGTTTCTTTTTCTTTTTTTTTTTTTTAATTTAAGTTCTAGGGTACATGTGCACAACGTGCAGGTTTGTTACATATGTATACATGTGCCATGCTGGTGTGCTGCACCCATAAACTCATCATTTACATTAGGTATATCTCCTAATGCTATCCCTCCCCACTACCCCCTCCCCACAATAGGACCCAGTGTGTGATGCTCCCCTTCCTGTGTCCAAGTGATCTCATTGTTCAGTTCCCACCTATGAGTGAGAACATGCGGTATTTGGTTTTCTGTTCTTATGATAGTTTGCTGAGAATGATGGTTTCCAGCTGCATCCATGTCCCTACAAAGGACACGAACTCATCCTTTGTTACGGCTGTATAGTATTCCATGGTGTATATGTGCCACATTTTCTTAATCCAGTCTGTCACTGATGGACATTTGGGTTGATTCCAAGTCTTTGCTATTGTAAATACTGCCACAGTAAACATACGTGTGCATGTGTCTTTAAAGCAGCATGACTTATAATCCTTTGAGTATATCCCCAGTAATAGGATGGCTGGGTCAAATGGTATTTCTAGTTCTAGATCCTTGAAGAATCGCCACACTGTCTTCCACAATTGTTGAACTAGTTTACAGTCCCACCAACAGTGTAAAAGTGTTCCTGTTTCTCCACATCCTCTCCAGCACCTGTTGTTTCCTGATTTTTTAATGATTGCCATTCTAAATGGTGTGAGATGGTATCTCATTGTGGTTTTGATTTGCATTTCTCTGATGGCGAGTGATGATGAGCATTTTTTCATGTGTCTGTTGGCTGTATGAATGTCTTCTTTTGAGAAGTGTCTGTTCGTATCCTTTGCCCACTTTTTGATGGGGTTGTTTTTTTCTTGCAAATCTGATTGAGTTCTTTATAGGTTCTGGATATTACCCCTTTGTCAGATGAGTCCATTGCAAAAATTTTCTCCCATTCTGTAGGTTGCCTGTTCACTCTGATGGTAGTTTCTTTTGCTGTGCAGAAGCTCTTTAGTTTAATTAGATCCCATTTGTCAATTTTGGCTTTTGTTGCCGTTGCTTTTGGTGTTTTAGACATGAAGTCCTTGCCCATGCCTATGTCCTGAATGGTATTACCTAGATTTTCTTCTAGGGATTTTATGGTCTAACATTTAAGTCTCGAATCCATCTTGAATTAATTTTCATATAAGGAGTAAGGAAAAGATCCAGTTTCAGCTTTCTACTTATGGCTAGCCAATTTTCCCAGCACCATTTGTTAAATAGGGAATCCTTTCCCCATTTCTTGTTTTTGTCAGGTTTGTCAAAGATCAGATGGCTATAGATGTGTGGTATTATTTCTGAGGGCTCTGTTCTGTTCCATTGGTCTATATCTCTGTTTTGGTATCAGCACCATGCTGTTTTGGTTACTGTAGCCTTGTAGTATAGTTTGAAGTCAGGTAGCATGATGCCTCCAGCTTTGTTCTTTTGGCTTAGGATTGTCTTGGCAATGTGGGGTCTTTTTTGGTTCCGTACGAACTTTAAAGCAGTTTTTTCCAATTCTGTGAAGAAAGTCATTGGTAGCTTCATGGGGATGGCATTGAATCTATAAATTACCTTGGGCAGTATGGCCATTTTCACAATATTGATTCTTCCTATCCATGAGCATGGTATGTTCTTCCATTTGTTTGTGTCTTCTTTTATTTCACTGAGCAGTGGTTTGTAGTTCTCCTTGAAGAGGTCCTTTACATCCATTGTAAGTTGGATTCCTAGGTATTTTATTCTCTTTGAAGCTATTGTGAATGGGAGTTCATTCATGATTTGGCTAGCTGTCTGTCTGTTACTGGTATATAAGAATGTTTGTGATTTTTGCACATTGATTTTGTGTCCTGAGACTTTGCTGAAGTTGCTTATCAGCTTAAGGAGATTTTGGGTTGAGACAATGGGGTTTTCTAAATATACAATCATGTCATCTGCAAACAGGGACAATTTGACTTCTTCTTTTCCTAACTGAATATATTCATTTCTTTCTCTTGTCTGATTGCCCTAGCCAGAATTTCCAACACTATGTTGAATAGGAGTGGTGAGAGAGGGCATCCCTGTCTTGTGCCAGTTTTCAAGGAATGCTTTAGTTTTTGCCCATTCAGTATGATATTGGCTGTGGGTCTGTCATAAACAGCTCTTATTATTTTGAGATACGTCCCATCAATACCATTTATTGGCTGATTTTTTTAGCATGAAGGGCTGTTGAATTTTGAATTTATTGAGCGTTTTTAGCATGAAGGGCTGTTGAATTTTGTCAAAGGCCTTTTCTACATCTATTGAGAGAATCATGTGGTTTCATATAAACATCTGTTTATATGCTGGATTATGTTTATTGATTTGCATATGTTGAACCAGCCTTGCATCCCAGGGATGAAGCCCACTTGATCATGGTGGATAAGCTTTTTGATGTGCTGCTGGATTCGGTTTGCCAGGATTTTATTGAGGATTTTTGCATGGATGTTCATCAGGGATATTGATCAAAATTCCTTTTTTTTGTTGTATCTCTGTCTGGCTTTGGTATCAGGATGATGCTGGCCTTGTAAAATGAGTTAGGGAGGATTCCCTCTTTTTCTATTGATTGGAATAGTTTCAGAAGGAATGGTACCAACTCCTCCTTGTACCTCTGGTAGAATTCGGCTGTGAATCTGTCTGGTCCTGGACTTTTCTTTGTTGGTAGGCTATTAATTATTGCCTCAATTTCAGAGCCTGCTATTGATCTATTCAGGGATTCAACTTCTTCCTGGTTTAGTCTTGGGAGAGTGTAAGTGTCCAGGAAATTATCCATTTCTTCTAGATTTTCTAGTTTATTTGCGTAGAGGTGTTTATAGTATTCTCTGATGGTAGTTTGTATTTCTGTGGGGTCGGTGGTGATATCCCCTTTATCATTTTTTATTGCGTCTATTTGATTCTTCTCTCTTTTCTTCTTTATTAGTCTTGCTAGCGGTCTGTCAATTTTGTTGATCTTTTCAAAAAACCAAGTCCTGGATTCATTGATTTTTTGGAGGGTTTTTTGTGTCTCTATCTCCTTCAATTCTGCTCTGATCTTCGTTATTTCTTGCCTTCTGCTAGCTTTTGAATGTGTTTGCTCTTTCTTCTCTAGTTCTTTTAATTGTGATGATAGGGTGTCAGTTTTAGATCTTTTCTGCTTTCTCTTATGGGCATTTAGTGCTATAAATTTCCCTCTACACACTGCTTTAAATGTGTCCCAGAGATTCTTGTATGTTGTATCTTTATTCTCATTGGTTTCAAAGAACATCTTTATTTCTGCCTTCATTTCGTTATGTACCCAGTAGTCATTCAGGAGCAGGTTGTTCAGTTTCCATGTAGTTGAGGCTGGTTTGATTGAGTTTCTTGATCCTGAGTTCTAGTTTGATTGCACTGTGGTCTGAGACAGTTTGTTATAATTTCTGTTCTTTTACATTTGCTGAAGAGTGCTTTACTTCCAACGATGTGGTCAATTTTGGAATAAGTGCGATGTGGTACTGAGAAGAATGTATATTCTGTTGCTTTGGGGTGGAGAGTTCTGTAGATGTCTGTGGAACCACCTTGGTGCAGAGTTGAGTTTGATTCCTGGATATCCTTTTTAACTATCTGTCTCGTTGATCTGTCTAATGTTGGCAGTGGAGTGTAAAGTCTCCCATTATTATTGTATGGGAGTCTAAGTCTCTTTGTAAGTCTCTAAGGACTTG